CATCATGCATTCGACGCTGAGATGGCAACGCAGTTTTTGCAATGCAATATTAAATTAATCCAGTATGTCTTTACTTGTGTTTAAGTTAGTTTTGTTTTTCAGAAGTGCATACCAATGTAGTTCCTAGCGAGTAGTGCCATTACTATGAAAATATGTACTTCTTTGAAAATACCACCAAAACGATTAACAGGTTAGAAGAACACCGTACCGAGGTTTCAGACTACATAGTTAATGCCCATTGACAAACTGTTTTTATTGCATAAGAGTACTGTGTGCAGTAATGTGGCATTCATAGATGATGGTCATTCGGTTTCAGTTACCGTCTATTCTTTCGGATCGCAAAAGCACACGCATCGTACAACGTCTCCATCGTTCCCTATCCTGTACCAGCTTTTCAGCTTCAGCAGAAGATAGCCTGGGTCTGAAGTCTAGACCTATGAAACATGTGCCTCAGATCATTCTTTGCCGTTTCCGAGGTCTACGGTCAGTCGGTTCGGCAAGTAGCAACTGTTTCGCCGTGCCTTTTCGAAACATCCACAAGACAAGCCAAATCCAACGCAGATATATAACTTCTAAATCTGGACAAAACAGCGCCTGTACAACAAGGCTCTGTCGGATATCTGTACGTCTGATCATGTCAAAATGCGCAAACCCGGCGATTTCCCTCAGAAAACTCATCCTCGTTGCATGTTCTCGAGACTGAAGTTTTTCACTCATGGTCGTAAGTGAGCATTGGATAATGATCGATAAGAGAGCTTCAAAACGACTTGACCACAATGAATCTTCAGACTCAGCTCTGTTTTAGTCGCAAAGGTACGGGCGAGTTCATGCAAAACATCGATGGCCATTACAGTTGACCGGTCGATCTCTTTCTCCCATTTTCCGTCACCAGTAAACACGATCCCGAAGTACTTGACCGGGTTTTGACACGTTGTTTTGCTATACCAGTGTAAATAATTTGATATCGGTTATTAATGGGTGCTGAATAAGAAACACCGTTCTGGATTCAGAAAGCTTCACCGAACTAAGACATTTTTTCAGGCTTCAAACCATCTCTTCATGTATTATCATAGCAGCCTATTCTTTTTTACGCCTTTTTAAATGAATCTTGTTGGTTCTGCTGGTGCTTTATCCGTGTGCGTAATTATTATTTGCAGAGCTATATCTGTGCGGTATCCGGCGTTGACCAGCTTGCGTAGTTTGGTGGAACAGGTAACTTTGCCCCTGTGTTCCGTCGTACCTGACTGGAAAACCAGAAAGGAAGTTATCGATAGAGGGGGCGAGATGAAGCCGTCATTGGTCAGAGCTCCATCCCCTGTGTCGGTTTCTGAGGTCAACCTGCTGTTTTCGCGACTTATCAAAGCCCAACAGACTGAAGGCATGTTTCTCAGTTACACTCGTAATCATCAGTTTTTCATGTAATTTTGTATTTCAGAGATATCTGACTTGTTGTTCGAATTTGAGGAGAAGATTAAGGCTAAACCAGATGTTCTTCGCTACTTTAAAGTAAGCAGCGTTGTAAAAAATATAAACTTTTTAATGTTTATTTTTGTGAGGTTTGATATTGTTCGTTACCCCGTTAAGAGTATTTTAATGAAAAAGAAGCATTTGAGCAGTTGTACTGTATTCAAGCAACAGTTTTCACATGTTTAACAGTCACATTAAAAGATTTTATTCTTGAGTCAGAAATGCGCACCGTTGAGTTTAGGATCTGTTCTGGTTATTATTTTAGAAATTCCCCTACATTTGTATCTCTTCTGGGAGCACTCGTTGTTGCTACGTTTTACCTGATGCAAATATTGCTACAGGAATGAGATCTAGTGCCACTACTGTAATAATCGCATAGCTATGGATCCTGCAACTGTAGTGATTGTAACAGCTGCTGCGTTTCGCTTATCAGCAATGACGTGCTTTCTGGTTCTCTAGTGGGTGGGTGATGGCATCCGCAAAGAATCTGAATAGTCGTTACCTTTTTCAAAATGTTCAATACAAAAACCGTCTTCCAGATCCGTTGAGCTATCCTGGACAGGTTTGCGATTAATTTCAGAATGCAACGGGGATTGTCTCCAGCGCAGTAACATTGATCTCGTATCAGTCATAATCATGAAATTGCCTGTCGATACATCCTTGCGGTTTTGCGTGTAAACGGCGGCTGGTTAGGCTAGCACTGATGTATCTTTCAACGACAGAAGCCTTCACCGTAATGCGCTGGATTTGTTTGCTGTCTTGTTTGCACGGAACGTTTGGCTACGGAATAATAAACAATATCGCGATGTCAGAAGGGGATTCTTGAACATTTGTTACGCCACCACGATTAATGTCGCATTATCCTCTGATGAATTCAGGATACTGTGCGTTTTTGGCCAGATATTTTTCTTGTTGTTTTGTCATCATCAAAGGCTAGTGCACATTTAACAATACGATAATCCATGAAATAATGTATCAGATTCATGTATGGATAATGTTCATTGCTTTGGTGAAGATCATATTCTTTTTTATCACTAGGTTGGCTTCGACGATGTGTTTACATGTTGTGTGTCGTCTTCTAACGTATCTGTCATCACTTAACTATTTTCTGGTATTATAACGAGTTGACAATAGGGTCTTAAAAAAATTCTTCATGGTATGGCGATTCCACCCTAGAGGCATGATTAGCCGTTCAAAAAGTTACCGGTTAGTAACTATGAAGTCTTAACTGACACTATGACAGCTCAGTCATGCTTTCTGTTTTGCAGACCATAACAAACCAGTATCATTTGGCTGGTTTGCAGTCATGACAGACACTATGCAGGACACGGACGATTGATAAACAAGTGAGACCGGCGGACAGGTCACGACTGTGGATCACTTTGATAGTGGCACCCGTGCAACGGGCAGTCCTTTGTGAATCATAAATCATGAGCAATTCGTCGAACTATAAATAAGCACTCGAGATAAATGAGACCAAAAATGTAATGATTAGATATTAGTCTAAGGTTAGCGGAGCTGTTATGCTTACGACGCTCCAGGTGACGATGACGAACAAAAGCATTCAAAAGCATGTTAGATTCATGAATTGAATGATATTCTGTGTTAATTTTTTTCTGATGCTGCGTTGTTTTTCTTACTTTTAGCCGGTGATCGAGCACCTTCTTTCCAACTGTTCCGAAAGTGTACGAAACACTGCATTCTCTTTGCTGCTCCGCTACCTCTATCAGGATCCAATGTAAATAATACTGACCGTTGTTTAGCTTATGATTGATGCTTGTTCAGAAATGTCGAATGTGTAATTACTTCGGTTCTCCGATGCCTGACTCATCCGGACAATGCCGTTGCACAGACTGCAATGGAAAATTTGCCTGATTTCATTGGAATATGTTCAGGTATTCAATTTATGCTTCATTAAGTATATTTTTCAGACTTGGCGGTAAGTAAGAAAAACCTTTTGAATTCAGTGGTTAGAATCAAAATGAATGACTGGGGTTTATCAGTCGGACTTGAGATTTCAGACTGTTCAAATACTTTTATTGCGGCAAGTCGTAATCGCGCTATGAGTCTAAAGATGGATGATGTGCTTATTGTTCAAGAATTCTATCTCTCGATTTACTTTAGTTCAGGTTTAACCACTACACGTTATGCTATGCTTGTCACATAAATGTAGATTTTGCCTTTAAGAGTAGGCACTCTTGGCTGATTATATAGAAATGTCGATCAGCGCAACAACACGAAAGGATTTTCATTAAAAAAAAATACTGGAGCCGCAGATGTCCTCTAGTCATAAAAATCTAAGACCGACATCCTGACCGTAACAAACTTTCTTTTTTCTTTTCAGTTTGATTCCTTTACCGGACTCATGTTCTTTTCTGCTTAAGCTCTGATGTGGTGGCAGAATCAGGAATGTTGGAGATGCTGTTATCTTATGCGTACGCATCAGTGACTGAAAGAATAGGCGATCATCGTAACTCACTAACTGATTATTTTGAGCGTTTCATAAACAATGTTGCTACTCATATCATTACAAACAGCGAAAGTTTTTCTCGTTTGTAGATATTGTTTAGGCAGGTAAAAATATTTTGCTGTGTTTACGTGTCTCAAATCAAGTTTTGAGTTCGGTGTGCTTTGATGATTGAGGACCATTTGTGTTGTTCCTCATTTCATGAAGGTTATATTGCGGTGGTAGTCTCATTGCCGTGAATCAGGTGTATCTTTGTTAAGCAGGAAACCTTATACTGTTTGGCATGCATATCCTCTAGTCTTCTGGTTCCTTCGCACAGAATGGTGCTTATTTATCAACCTCAGAAGGATGGAAGACGAATTTGGCGACTGGAACTCAAACTCGGGATCGTTCGATTCTGTGTCTAACAATCTTCTGACTATACTACCTATTGGTGGTATATGTGAGTTCTGCAGTTTATAAGCATGAGGTTTTCTGAAGTTGTACTCACGAAGGTGGTAATGTCCATAGGAAGTATACAGCAGTAGTGCATTGGAAAGAAATCGGTTGCACAGAAGAACGAATCAGTCAATAAATGTTGACATATAATCATTAAAATGGTAGTTCTAAGCCATATCTACATCAATTCAGGTATGTTAGAATTAATTCAGAGCCAATTCCAGGACTTAAAAATGTAACTTCTGCAACATTGGCTGAACTCCATTTAAAGCGTTAGTGAGAACATCAACATACCATTATCATCAGGGATTAAAAGCCTGCCTTTGCATACCCTCATTTTACAGTTGTCTCATTGGAGGATGTTCGCTGTTCGTGATCAGTCTTTTAATTACGTTCGTTTTGAGACTGGTCTGAGCTATGGTGTTCACTGTTTCTTTCTTTTGCAATGTTTTTGGCTTTATTTGTCGTTGTTATTCACATAATCATAAGTTGAATTGCAACTGCTATGATAATCTTCATGGCATTGTCTTCCAAGTGATTTTAATCATTGTCGCAGGGGTGATAATTGCTGAAACAGTGATGCTAGCTTCTTCCTTATATGTCGCCGATGTGTATTTATATTGTGGTGCTGATTTCCACTAAGCGGTGATACACTTACAATGTGCATCAGCGCGCCTTATCGAGGAACGGGTTCAGGTAGATCATCCGAAAACAGGTGGGTCCATATGTTGTTCTAGTGTTAGTGTGTAACTCAGAACTTATAAAACTTACTAATATCTGTTTGATTCGTCGGCTTTATGGCTGCAGTGCGCCTTTATCTATATAACATGAGGTTTAATTTACCCAGAATGTAAATCATCAATTAAAAAAGATACCACCAACAGTTAGGACAAAATGAATGCGGCAACAAATAAGTTTTGAATATTTATCCCTTGCTGTTGTTCTTATTTTTCCATATAAGCAGTATTGGTGAAACTGCGTCGTCAAAAATTTATTAATGTCTAAATTTGAATCATTTTTTCATGCTTTTGCTGATTTTGAAATTTCTTGCTACTCTTTGATGTTTTTATTCAATTATCGATTTTTTAGATGCATATGTTGGAAAGATTTTGGAAGCTGAATGTCAGTGCTGCTTGCGAAACGTTGGTGAAAGTTATGGAACACTTGCTGAATCAATGGTAGTTCTACACAACTGTTGTTGATGCGTTTTCTATGTTTGACTGTTTTTACATGCGTTTTTATGGATTCGAGGAATAAGGCGTTCCAGTTCCGCTGTAAATCGTTAATTTGCAAACGGAGTGACAATAACTCACAGAAAGCAAAACTGTGAGCGTTCTTCCTGTCTGGTTAATAAATGCATAGTCGTCTGTTACTGGCTAACGTATATAGAAGTTGCTTGTTTTCTTACCAAAAGAAGCTTGTTAAGACACTGTAGTTCAAATACATGAGCATCATGATTTGTTCTGAGGATGAGAGAAATGGTTTAGGAAATTTTATCCCAGTTGTGACGGTACTGCTGTCAGCATAATGGCAGATTTTCAAAATGTCATAGTACAATATAAAAAAGTCAAATCGCTTTATGCTTTCGGTATTACTACAAAGGCACGAATGAAATACTCAATTGTGAAATTTACGTAGTGTTATTCGACGTATTTTACGGCTTACACTCGCAGTTCGATTCTATTTGTCTAATGGATTATTTGCGTAGGCTACGGCTCCATGGAATTTGAACAACATTTATGCCGTTCGGCAGTCATTGAGCTGCGTCGAGGTTACGCACGTTCGATCATCAATTAAAATGCCGCAGTCCTTGCCATGTGCGCAT